AGATATTTCATGCAAATGGTAACCAAAAGAGAGGAGGAGTGGCTATACTGTTGACTCTTGAACAACACAGGTTTGAATTGTCTGTGTACACTTATAAGTAGATTTTTTTGATAAATATATTGGAATTTTTTTCAGATTTGTAACAATTTGAAAAACTTGCAAATCAACTATGTAGCCTAGAAATATTAAAAAACTGGAAAAAGTTTAGTGTGTCATGATGCATAAAATATATGTAGATTCTAGTCTATTTCAACATTTGCTACCAGAAAATACATACAAATCTATAATGAAAAGTTAAAATTTATCAAAACTTATGCACACAAAGACTTACCATACATAATGCCATTCACAGCTGAGATAAATGTAAATGAATGTAAAGATGCAGTACTGTAATTACATAAAATTAACTGCAGTGCAGACTGTACAACTAGAATAATTTCATATCCACTTCCTCTTGCTATTGTTGTATCCACTGAAAACTCCGTGTGACACTAATCATCTCTGAGTGAGTAGTTTGTCTCTTTAGTAAATTGTATATCATAGTAAAAAATGATCTCTTGAAATTCTTGTGTATTTTTCATAATGTTAACTGTAATATTGTAAACCTTGAATAACACCATGGGCCCCATAGGAAGTGCCACCAGTGATGCTGGAAGTGCTTCCAAGAAGCAGAGAAAAGTCATGGCATTACAAGAAAAAGTAAAATTACTTAAAATGCACTACAGATTGAGGTCTGCAGGTATGATTCCCCACCATTTTAAGAAAAATGAACCTAGTTTAAGTAACACTGTGAAGAAAGAAGAAAGGAGAAGAAGAAGGAGGAGGAGGAGGAGATTCATGAAGCTGCTGCTGCAGCTATGCAAGCAGATGCAAAATCCTTGCAATTTTATGAAATATCTTTTTGTTTTATGTTGAAAATGTGGCTTGTATGTGAGTTCAGGAATTGCAGTAAGTAAGGTATACCTACAGACGATAATATAATTCACAAAAAGTGAAGTTATAATATGGCAAGTTAAAGAGAAAGGAAGGTTCAGTATCTAAGGCTGGAGGATTTACTGCCAGCAAAAGATACATTGATAATTTTAAAAAACTATTTGTCTTAATAAATGTAAACATAACAGGAGAAGCAGCTTCTGCCAACCAAGGGAAAACAGACAAGTTCCCAGATGCCATTATTAAAATCACTGAGGAGAAAGATGTCTGTCAGAACAGGTTTTTAATACAAATAACTGTCTCATTCTGGGGAAAATGCCACCAAAAAACATCTATTAATAAAAGAGGAGCCAGAGAGGGAGGGGGAGGGAAGAGAGAGAGAGAGAGAGAGAGAGAGAGACAGAGAGAGAGACAGAGAGAGAGACAGAGAGAGAGACAGAGAGAGAGGTGAACACCAGGCTTAAAGGCAAAAAGATATAGGCTAACTCTACTGTTTTGTGCAAATGCAGCCAGGCTATGATCTGGAATGCCTTTATAGGCATTCCAGAAAGATATTAAAGATATTAAACCCAGAGCCTTCAAGGGAAAAGATAAACACCTCTGATGGTCTTTTGGCTGTACAGCAAAGAGGCCTGCACAATGAAAAACCTTGTTCTGAATAGGTTCCATTGATGCTTTCTTCCTGAAGGCAAGAAGTACCTTGCCTATAAAGGACTGCATTTTAAAGATTTTTTTATATATTAGATAATGTCCCTGGCCACCCAGAACACCATGAATTAAACACCAGAGGCATAAAATTGGTCTACTTTCCCACAAAGAGAACATCTTTAATTCATCCTCTACATCTGTGGTTCATAAGGACCTTTAAGGCTCATTACACATGGTACCCTGTGGAAAGTATTGTCAACACTATAAAAGAGAACTCCAACCAAGTTCTTGAAAATTTGGAAATTTGGAAATGAAATTTTGGAATTGAAAATTTGGAAGGAAATGAAAATTTGGAAATAAAAATTTGGAAGGATTATACAATTGCAGATGTCATCATTGTGATGGAAATAGCCATGAAAGCTATAAAGCCTGAAAAAAATAAATTCTTTCTGGAGAAAACTGTGTCCAGATGTTGTATATGACTTCACAGCTTTATGACAGAGCCAAACAACATAACAATGAAAGAGATTATGGATATGGCAAAAAAGGTGGCAGATGAAGTGTTTCAAGGTATGGAATTTGGAGAATTTCAATAGCCAATAGACACCACAGAATTAATAGTATATGACTTGATGAAGATAAGTGCTTCCAAACTAGTACCAGATGATGAGCAAAGAGACATAGAAGAGGCAATGCCAGAAGACTAATTTTCTTTAAACAATCTGATAGAAGTGTTCTGATTATTCAAGACTACTTTCAGTTGCTTTTACACATGGACCCTTCTATGACATGAGCACTGAAACTAAAACAAATTATGGAAAAATATTGGTATTGAATAGAAACATTTTTAGAGAAATGCAAAATCAAAACCATCAGATAGGATTTATTATGTATTTCCATAAAGTTACACAAGTGTGCTTGCCTCTTCTGCCTCCCCTTCCATTTTCTCCATCTCTTCCATATCTATCATCTGGGAGACAGCAAAACCAACCCCTCCTCTTCTTCCTCCTCCTCAGCCTACTCAATGTGAAGATGACAAGGATGAACCCCTTTATGATGATCTACTTCCACTTAATGAATAGTAAGTATATTTGTGCTTGATTGTGATTCTCCTAATAACATATTATTTCCTCTAGCTTACTTCATTGTGAGAATATAGCATATAATCAGAAAGCATACAAAATGTGTTAATCAACTATTTAAGTTATTGGCAACTGAATAATGGTAGGCTATTAGTACTTAAGTTTTTTGAGGGGGTCAAAAGTTATACATGATTTTCAACTTTGCAGGACATCAACACTCCTAATACCTGTCTGCATTGCTTAATGGTCAACTGTACTTATATCTGACAAAATAGGCTTTGAGTCAAAAACTATAAAAAATGAAAAAGAAGGTTATTAAATAATAAAATATGTATTAACTCATCAAGAGAATATAACAATTGTAAATATATATGTAACCAATGTTAGAGAACCTAAATATATCAAGCAAATATTATTAGATATGAAGAAAGAGAGAGATAGGCTGCAATCTGACAATAGTTGGGGACTTTAACACCCTACTTTCTACAATGGAAAGGTTATCCAGACAGAAAATCAATAAGGGAGCATCAGACTTAAACTACACTCTAGACCAAATGGACCTAACAAATATACATAAAACATTTCATCCAACAGATGGAAAATACACATTCTTCCCAATTGCATATGAAACATTTTCTAGGATACATTATATGTTAGGCCAAAAAACAAGTGTTAAAAATGTAAAGAAGATTGTTATCATTTCAGTATCTTTTTTTTTAATTGAGACAGGGTCTCACTCTGTCAACTAGGCTGGAGTGCAGTGACATCATTATAGCTCACTGCACCCTTAAGTTCCCATGCTCAAGTGATCTTCCTGCCTCAGCCTTCCAAGTAGGTGGGACTACAGGTATGTGTCACCACACCTAGGTAATTTCTTTATTTTGTGCAAAGATGAGGTTTCGCTCTTATTCAGGCTGGTATCAAACTCCTGGCCACAAGTGATCCTCCCATCTTGGCCTCCCAAAATGCTAGGATTATAGGCATGAGCCATCATGCCCAGCCTGAATATCTTTTTTAACCATGATGGTATAAAATTAGAAAACAATAACACAAGAAACTTTTAAAACCTCACAAATACATTGAAACTAAACAAAATGCTCCTAAACAAGCCATGTATGAATAAGTAAAAGGGAAATTAAAAAATTTCTTGAGACAAATGAAAATGACACTACAGATATTAAAACCTATGGGATTTAGCAAAAGTTATTACAAAAGGGAAATTTATAGCAAATAAACACCAACACAAAAAAAGAAGAAAGCTCTCAAAGAAACAACCTAATTTTGCACCTCAAGTACTTAAAAGATCAAGAACCAGTGCAACGTAAAGTTAGTAAAAGTAAGGAAATAATAAAGACCAAAGCAGAAATAAATGAAATATAGAATATAAAAGCAATAAAAAGATCAATGAAACTAAGTTTGTTTTTTGAAAATATAAACAAAATTGGCAGACCTTTAGCTAAACTAAGAAAAAAGAAAGCAAACTCAAATAAATGAAACAAAAAATGAAAAAGGAAACATTACAACTGACATAACAAATACACAGGATCACAAAAGACTATTATGAACAATTATACACCAACTAATTGGATAATATGCAAGGGAGGGATGTATTTCTTGACACATATAAATTACCAATGTTGAATTATGAAGAAATAGAAAATCTGAACAGACCAATAACTAGTAAGAACATTAAATCAGTTGTGAAACATCTCCAATCAAATAAATGCCCAGGACCAGATGAGTTCACTACTGAATTCTATCAAAAATTTAAGAAAGAAGTAATAATTCTTCCAAACTCTTCCAAAAAACTGTAAAGGAGGAAATATTTTGAAACCCATTTTATAAGGCCAGCATTGCCCTCATACCAAAGCCAGACAAGGACATTACAAAAGAAAGAAAGAAAGAAAAGAAAGAAAGAAAGAGAGAGAGAGAGAGAGAGAGAGAGAGAGAGAGAGAGAGAGAGAGAGAAAGAAAGAAAGAAAGAAAGAAAGAAAGAAAAAAGAAGAAAGAAAGAAAGAAAGAAAGAAAGAAAACTATAGGCCAAGATCCTTAATGAACATAGATGCAAAACCTTCAACAACATACTCACAAATTCAACAAATGTTTAATTCAGTTAATTTAACAACACATTAAAATGATTATTCATCGTGATCAGATGAGATTTATCTTAGGGATACAAGGATCGTTCAGCATACAAAATCAATAAATGTGATACATCACAGTAAGAGAATGAAGGACAAAAAGCATAATTTTTCCATAGATGCAGAAAAATCACTTGAAAAAAATCCAACATTCATTAATAATAAAAATTCTCAAAAAAATTATGTACAGAGGCGCGGTAGCGCGGCGGCCCGGCCGCGGGGGACCCGGAGAGCCGCGGCGACGCCGGCCAGGATGGTGCTGGAGAGCGTGGCCCACATCGTGAAGGTGCAGCTTCCCGCATACCTCAAGCGGCTCCCGGTGCCCGAAAGCATTTCCGGCTTTGCCAGACTCACAGTTTCAGAATGGCTTCGGCTACTGCCTTTCCTTGGTGTACTTGCACTACTGGGCTACCTTGCAGTCCGTCCATTCCTCTCGAAGAAAAAACAACAAAAGGATAGCTTGATTAATCTTAAAATACAAAAGGAAAATCCAAAAGTGGTGAATGAAATAAACATTGAAGATCTGTGTCTTACTAAAGCAGCTTATTGTAGGTGTTGGCGTTCTAAGACGTTTCCTGCCTGTGATGGTTCGCATAACAAACACAATGAATTGACAGGAGATAATGTGGGTCCACTAATAATGAAGAAGAAAGAAGTATAGTAACGAATTAGGATTGAATTCAATTGTATAAAATCTTATAACAATATTTTCTCATTATTTGTGTATAGAAAATTTTGAAATGGTCGTCTTAATTATTACTACCTGTTGAGAAATTATTTCTGTCAGTTTATCTACTTTCTACACTACTGTTTATATTTGATACTTTATATATTCAAACACTTACATAGAAATTAACTTGTTATTGTTAAGCCTCTTATTCTGACTTCAGAATTAATGTATCTTCCAACAATAAAATCAACATTTTTGATTTTAATTGAGAAATATCTAAATTTTGGCAGTGTGTCCAAAGCTGTTTTTTTGAATATCATTATTTTCAACAGAATCTATATTCTGAAATTTTCCCTCCATGCTGTTAAATATATTATTTTTTCATGTCTCTTTTGTTTTGATAGTTGGAAGTATTTATTTTTCCTTTCGGCCTTCTGCGCTCCATTGTGTTTAGATGAATTACGAAAACTATTGCAATTAAGAATTACTTGTTTTCACAGACATACATTCTTTGATTTATAGAGAGTGTTGTCTAATTAATATGAATATCCCAATTTCAGAAAAGTAGTAAACTGGATATAAAAAGTTCTACTGAGAACAGTTATTTACATTATAAAAGATTTATTTCCTTTACAAAAGGTTTGCCTGTGTCTTTTTACTGTGTGTGCGTGTATCTTGAGCTATTTGGCTAAGTGACAGCTGGGCTGGACTGGCAAGAGTACAAGCCAAACTCATGGGCTGCTGCAATTTGAAGGTCAGTTAGAAATAAAGTATATGTGAATTCATATTACATTGATAAATAGTTAAGTGTTCAAAATTGTGTTTATATGAACATTTTTATCCTTTAACAGTTTCACCATGAAAACAAAATAACAGTCATCCTTTGGTATACAAGGAGGGATTGGTTCCAGGGCTGCCCACAGGTACCAAAATCCATGCTTATTCAAGTCCTGCGGGGCCATAAACCGGCAGAAACGAAAAGCTGCCTGCCCCTGTGCATAGGCAGGGGTGGGGCAGTTGTCTGCCTCCAGGGATTACTTATGTTCAAACCCTGTTGTCCAAGGGCCAACTGTGCAAAAGAGTTCACAAAGAAAACTTACTAGAGATTCTTTTAAATATTATTAAAAGTCTTTTTAGTTTCATCTTATATTGGATATTAATAGCTATTCTTAAGTCTGTAAAAGGCACAATTCATTTAGTTTACTAAGCTTTCTTTTTATATGAAGGTATAAGAGGCAGACATAATCTTTATTCCATTAATAAAGGTAATAGTTATTGAGCACTTACATGGTACCAGACACTACACTAAGCATAGTACTTGGGTTTTTAATTTTTACGTGTGATTTCAGTAGGTTCTACTATGTGATCTTAACTTTGTCGTGACCAATAGCATGAATTTTAGAATTAGAGTTAGAGCATAGTCTGTGGTTTTTGAGAAGTTGTACAATGTGCATGTCCGAGATTGTTGCCCTTTCCTCTCTCACCTGTCAATGGGCATAAATACAAGTGGCTCTCAAAAAAAAAAAATTATGTACAGAAGAACTGTACCTCAGCACAATGAAGGCCATATATGACAAACTCACAGCTAACATTATAGTAAATGGGGAAAAGTAGAATTTTTTAAGATCTTGAAAAAGGCAAGAATGCTCACTCTTGGCACTTCTGTTGAACACAGTACTGGAAGTCCTTGCCAGAGCAATTAGGCAAGAGAAGAATGAAAGGCATCCAAATTCAAAAGGAAGAAGTTACATTGCCTTTGTTTGCAGATGGCATGATTTTATATATAGAAAACCCTAAAGACTCCACTAAAAAAAAACAGATCTAATCAACAAATTGAATAAAGCCGCAGGATACAAAAATTAACATAAAAAAATCAGTAGTGTTTCCTTACATGAACAGTGAATTATCCAAAAAAGAAATCAAGAAAGCAATCCCCATTCACAATAGCTATAAATAATAAAATAAAATACTTTGCAATAAATTTAACCAAGGCAGTGAAATATTCCTACATTCAAAACTATAAAAGAATTATGAAAGAAATTAAAGAAGACACAAATAAATGGAAATATATTCTGTGTTCTTAGATTGCAAAAAATAATTTGTAAAAAATATCCACAATACTCAAAACAATCTAATGATTCAATGCAAAAAAATTAAAAGAAAATAAAAATGCAAAAAAATGCCAAAGGAATTCTTCACAGAAATGTTTAAAAAATCTAAACTTTGAATGGAACCACAAAACATCACAAATATCCAAAGAAATCTTGAGCAAATAGGACAAAGCTGGAGGCATTACACTACCTGACTTCAAAATACACTATAAAGCTGTAGTAATAAAAAAAACATGGTACTGGCTTAAAAATAGACACACAGACCAGTGAAACAGAATGGAGGGCCCAGAAATAAATCCACACATTTATAGACAACTTGTTTCAACAAAGGTGCCCAAAAAACACAATGGAGGAAAGAACAGTTTCTTCAATAAATGGTGTTTGGAAAGAAAAATGGTGGAGTAAAGGTAATTTCCCGGATTCCTGCTCCCATAAAAAGAGGCATAGATCTCAGTCTGCTACACATGAGTGGATCTCTCCCCTGCAGGAACAGCATTGTGAATCTGCAGAGTATCAGTGTGAAACACAAAAAAAGAAAAAAAAAGTGAATGGGAGATAAGATTGCAAATGCTGGAGAGTGCTAAACAAACAATAGAAAATAGAGCATGGGATGGCTGTGACTGCCGGGCCAATGAGTGAAACAGGATCAGACCCACAGGAGATCTTCTTGCTCCCCCACTGACCTTCACACCCATTCAGACAGGCACCTGCCTAAAATTGATGCAAATTGCAGCAGGAGATGTGGGGCTCTGGGGATAGGAGACAATAGTAGGTAGCATCTTTAACTCCCAAAGCCCTGTGCCAGGACTGCACTAGGCAGGGGAGGCACTGGTCTTAGCTATTGCTGGTGGTAGTTATGAGACAGGAAGCTTGCCTCTGGCACCCAGCAGGTCCAGACCAACAGAGCTGATCACTAAGTAGGGGACTCTAACCTGGAAACTACTGCAGGCAAATAGGCCCTCTCAAGCTGCGTCAGGAAGAGTGAGAACTCCTTCTGGACAGGCATGAGATTGTGGGAGGGCAACATAAAAGAGACAACAGGGCATCCTGATGACCTAGCTCCCTGATCTGGCACCTGTTATCTCCTGAACATTTGCCCCCAGTGCTAGCGGCCTGCGGGCTGGTGGTGACGATTGTTGGGGTACATAACCCAGCCTCTGTGGTGTGATAAGCTGTCGGGCAGTTCCCTTCCTCCAGGCCATGGATTCTTGGGAAAAGCTCCGCCCTTACATGACCTATGGTAAATTATCCAGGCCTGTGTTGATGGGTGAATTCTGAACACTTCCCTAGTTATGGGGGGCTAACACCTGCAGAACTTACAAGTGCTGGGGTGCTGGGCAGACTAGGGCAACACCTAGGCTCCACCCATGGAAGTAGGGTGAGACAAGAAAAGCCACTTTCCCTCTGTGACTAACATCAATCCGCGGGGCTTTGGTGCAGATCAATAGCTGACAGCCAGGTGAATTTCCTGGTCAGACTGATTTAAGTTACCCCATAGGATCATAATGCTGAGGCTGGATCTCCACACCCAGTCAGCTGCCAAAAGTGAGGGCCTTGGTCAAGGAACAAAATTTCCCCAAGAGTACAAAGCTGGATCCCCAAGAAACCCCTCCCATCAGGAATAGCCTCCCAACTGTGGTAGAAGAACTCTGAACAACATATTAGCAGCTGCCCCCAGAGGCAGATCAAGCAAGCATAGAAATGCACACCTCAGGGCTGGTAGGCAGAAACTATAATCTGTGTGCTTCTATAGCACTCACAGGAACAGACGCTATACAGGGCCTGATACTTTCCAAACAAAAACTGAAATGTGGGAAGCAATAGCTGATCCAGATGGGAAGGACTCAGTGAAAGAACTGTAGAATTATGAAGCATCAAAAGGAAAGTACACCCCCAAAGAGGAACACCAGCTCTCAAGCAATGAACATTAACCAAATTCAGAACACTAAAATGTAACAAGAAGAATTTCAAACATGGATTGTAAGAAAACCCAATGATATAAAAGAAAAAAATGGATAACCAACACACAAAAAAATCCAGGTATTGGAAGAAAAATTCACTAAGGAAATTGAAATATTAAAGAAAAGTCAAACTGAACTCTTGGAAACGAAGAATGTATTCTGGGAACTAAAAAACACAGTGAAAATCCTAAAGTACAGGGTCAATTAAACAGAAGACAGAATCTCAGAGATTAAAGATAACACCGTGCAACTAAATAAGTCAGTCACAGAGATAGAACAGAGAAATAAGATAAAAGAGCAAAGCATACAAAAAATGTGGGATTATATGACAAAACCTAACTTGAGTGTTTGGAGGATTCCCAAAGGGGAAGAAGAAAACATGCAAGGGTTGGCTAAGGTATTTGAAGATAAAATAGAGGAAAATTTCTCAGGCCTTGCTAAAAGTCTAGATATCCAAGTATAAGAAGCTCAAAGGACCCCTGGGAGATTCAATGCAAACAGGAAGACACCACAACATGTAGTCATCAGACTGACCAAAATATCAACTAAAGAGGCCCTTCTATGAGCTGTAAGGTGAAAAGGAAGCAAGTACCATACAAAGGAAAGCCAATCCAAATAATGCCAGATTTGTCCACCGAAATCTTACAAGCAAGGAGAGACTGAAGCCCTATTCTCAACCTTCTGAAACAGAATAATGCCCAGCCTAGAATCTTATAACCTGCAAAACTAAGTTTTGTATATGAAGGAGAAATAAAGACATTCTCAGATAAGCAAAGACTGAGGGAATTCACCAACACAAGACCAACACTCCCTGAAGTACTCAAAACAGTGTTACACACAGATAAGCACAACAAACACTCATGAATGTAAAACCACTCATAAGATAAAGATTAAAGGCCAGATACCAGGATGGCCCAAGAGAGAAAACAAAGCAACAAAGTTCAACCCAACAACATGAACAGAAATGTGCCCCATCAATCAGTTCTCTCAATAAACATGAACATCTTGAACTCCCTAGTCAAGAGACATAGGCAGGCTGAATGGATAAAAAAAATACAAGCCAATTATCCGCTGTCTTCAAGAAACACATCTAAGCTACAAGGATGCATATAGACTAAAGGTAAAGGGTGGAAATCAATATTTCAAGCAAATGGAAGCCAAAAGAAGGCTGGCATAGTGGTTTTGATTTCAGAGAACTTAACTTTTAAACCAACAAAAGTAATGAAATATAAAGTTGGTCACTATATAATGGTGATGGGTATACTTCAAGAAGAAGACATATCAATGCAAAATATATATGCACCAAACACAGGTGGACCCAGATTCATAAAGCAAACCACTTGATCTAACTAAATCGATAAACAACAATACCATAATAGCCTAAGACTTTAACACCCTGCTGACAACACAGGACAGATCTTCCAAACAGAAAATTAACAAAGAAATAGTGGACTTAAACAGAACTCTAGATCAAATGGGCCTGACTGACCTTTACAGGACATTCTACGCCCAAATCACTGAATATATGTTCTCATCAGCTCATGGGAACATTCTCTAAGAT